TATCTTTGTTTTTTTTTTTTTAAATTCTATTTTTCGATGTGGGTTAGTGTAGAAGTTAATGTTGAGTACAATTTACTAGGGTAGTGAGCAGGCTCAGAAAGAACCTGAATATGTTCAGGAGTTCAGATGGCCTGAACGCTGCTGGACAGCAGAAATCCAGACCAAGATTGTTCAAATCTGGACTAGGATTTTAAAAATACTATTTGCATGCTGGCAGATTCGGAAGCCAGTGTGCAAATAGTTTTATATATAAAACATAACAAAAACAGAGCAAGGCTTCATCATGTGGCCTGCCAGACATTAAAATGTAAGAAAATATATATTAAAAAAAAAAACATATGGAGATCAATATTCATACATGATACAAATTAAGTTACGGCGCACACACATAATATACTAATAATCTTATCAGGCTACTTAAATTCACCTATCTAAGAAAATAAATATAGGGATTCAGTTACACCATATGGCCATATTTTGTTAAACCCACCACTACTTCACAGTATCCCATTATCGGTGGGTCCTACATTACCTCCGAATGTGGGAGATAAATTAAATAGTGCTAAATAAGCTAAAGTGTATAAAGTTCATCTATTGTAAAAACACACTTTTTTTGTATACTCTTACAATAGATGAACTTTATACACTTTAGCTTATTTAGCACTATTTAATTTGTCTTCCCCCTTTGGAGTTAATGTAGGACCCACCGATATTGGGGTACTGTGAAGTAGTAGTGGGCTTAACAACAAATGGCGGAACTGAATCCCCCTATTTATTTCCTTAGGCGAATTTAAGTAGCCTGATAAAATTATTAATATATTATCATATGTGCACCGTAACTTAATTTGTATAATGTATGTATGAATATTGGTCACTACGGCAGCACCATTCCTGTACAATGCATATTTTGGGTGTGCCCCTAATCCTTTTTTCTTTGCTATGGAGGTCAATATGACACCAACTCAAAGGCATCAGGTGGTGGCTTTAAATAAAATAAAATGGGCATGGACAGTGATCTGTCCACCCCCAGTACTTAATTTATTTAAAGCGCCCACCTGTGGCCAGCGGGTGGGCTATTTAAAAAATATTTTTATTGCAGAGGTCACCCAAATTTCCCTGTGGTGACAGTTAGGGGCTACTTATTAATTAAAAGGGACCTAGTTTCCTTCCCAGTTTGTTTACAAAGGATCTTAACTTGTATAGCTTGGAGGAAAGACGAGACGGAAGGATATGACAAATATTTAAATACATAAAGGGAGGAGACTATATTTAACCCCTTAAGACCGGAGGGCATACTATTACGCCCTATTTTAAGCGGCTCTAAACGCCGCCGGGCGAAATAGTACGCCCTCTGGTCTTTTTGTACTTACCTGGTCGCCGGCGATCCCACGCTGACGATCACGGTTGGGGGGACTCCCAGGGAGCCCCCCGCGGCACGTCCGACCTCCTGGAAGCCCCCCCGGCCATGTGAGAGTGAGGTCCTTGCGAGGACCTCACAATCACATGGCCGGGATAGCTGCCTGCTGTATTGCCAGCAGGGGGACTGCCTGTAATGACAGGTGGTCTCCCTGCTGGCTGAAAATAAAAATAAAATAACATTTAAAAAAGTTAAGTGTAAAAAAATAATATATACTTAGATCATATATATATATAATATATATATATATATATATATATATATATATATATATATATATATACACACACATACATACACACACGTACACTGTAGAGGTGTATTTTACTATTAATATATATATATATATATATATTGATATCAAATTACACGTAGACTGATACTGATTAAATATATATAATTATTGTTATATATAATATAAAAAATTAAATATGTAAATACGTTAAAAAATAAAATAAAAAAATTATAAAAAATTAATTAAATATATAGATGTTATTTCATTCTAACTGTTTTGTGATTAATATATATATATTTATATCAAAATACACGTAGAACGAAATATATATATGTATATACATAAATATATATGTATATATCACTATATATATATATATATATATATATATATATATATATATATATATATATATATATATATATATATATATATATATATATATATATATATATACCTATAAATAAATAAAAATATTTTTAAAAAATTATATATATACATATATATTCACATACGTATATATATTATATATATACATATATTCATTCTACATATATATTTATGTAATAATTTTACATAATTGGGTATCTTAATTAATTAAAATTAGCGGGACCTGCCTGACAACCCATGCTGAAAGTAAAGGGAATTTAATTTGCTAGCACTATATTTAACCCTATCACTTTCCAAGACACCATAAAACCTGTACATGGGGGGTACTGTTCTACTCGGGGGACTTCGCTGAACACAAATATTAGTGTTTCAAAACAGTAAAATGTATTACAACGATGATATTGCCAGTAAAAGTGAAGTTTTTTGCATTTTTCACGCACAAACAGCACTTACACGGACGATATTATTGCTGCGATACTTTTTACTGTTTTGAAACACAAATATTTGTGTTCAGCGAAGTCTCCCGAGTACAACAGTACCCCTCATGTACAGGTTTTATGGTGTTTTCAAAAGTTACAGCGTCAAATATAAGGCTTGTTTCATTTTTTTCACATTAAAATTCGCCAGATTGTGTACGTTGCCTTTGAGACCCTATGGTAGCCCAAGAATGAAAATTACCCCTATGATGGCATACCATTTGCAATAGTAGACAACCCAAGGTATTGCAAACTGGGTATGTCCAGTCTTTTTTTTAGCAGCCACTTAGTCACAAACACTTACCAAAATTGGCGTTTTTTGCATTTTTCACACACAAACAAATACTAACGCTAACTTTGGCCAGTGTTTGTGACCAGTCTTTTTTAGTAGCCATTTGGACATACCCCATTTGCAATACCTTGGGTTGTGTACTATTGCAAATGATATGCCATTATGGGTGTAAATTTCTTTCCTGGGCTACTATAAAGTCCCAATGGCAACGTAACCAATCTGGCGAATTTCAATTTCAAATGTAACATGCTATATTTGACCCTGTAACTTCCCAAAACGCCATAAATCCTGTACATACGGGGTACTGTTTTACACGTGAAACTTTGCTAAATACAAATGTGTATTTTATTGCAGTAAAAGCAAACAGTATTATGACATTGACAGTTAAAATGTCATTAGAACAAAAAAAATCTTATTTTCTCCCATTTTTTTCATATTAAATTATGTTTCATAGCTAAATATTTGATATTAAATGAAAGCCCTGTTTCCCCTGAATAAAATTATATATAATAAGTGTGGGGCTTTTTTACTATGAAAGAGTTGAATTACGGTTGGACAGACATGTAGCGTAAATGCCAGGTTTTGTTTACGTTTTGTTTCGTTCACAACGTGTACATTTGGCTCCGTCCTTAAGGGGTTAAAAGAAGAAAAACTACCACAACAAGAGGACATAGTTTTAAATTAGAGGGGCAAAGGTTTAAAAATATCAGGAAGAGGGTAGTGGATGCATGGAATAGCCTTCCAGTTGAAGTAGTAGAGGTTAACACAGCGAGGGAGTTTGAGCATGCCTGGGATAGGCATTAGGCTATCCTAACTATAAGATAAGGCCAGGGACTAATGAAAGTATTTAGAAAATTAGGCAGACTAAATGGGCTGAATGGTTCTTATCAGCTGTCACATTCTGTTTCCAGCTCTAAGTAAAGGTCACAACAGGGACCTTTTGCTTCCCTATGAATTATAAACATTCAGAGGATGATTAAGCCACAGGGGGCTGCAAACTTCCCAGCTGTGGAACTACAGAAACTATTTGGAGTCAAGCAAAATGATTACAGCCTACTATGCCATGAAATAGGTCACTAGTAATATGGAACTAGGCAGGTCCACACATGTCTGTCCTAATTCAGGAGAGCAATGTACATCCCCTCAAGGATCAGCAGTGCCTGCCCAAATCACTATTCATAGCAACCATCCTGCTTATGGCTTAACTAACATCCCTCCCCATCCTTTTGAACTTCTCTTTTCTTAATGTAGCAGAAAATTCACGGAGCGTCTCATGGTATGGTAGGTGTGACTGAATCTTGTAAAAAGGAATGAAAAGACAGATCCCCATAATCACAAAAAAAATGTGAATTGGTGAGAGCTGTCTTAAAAAGAGCCTACCTCAGAGCTACAATATAGGGGGTAACCCAGAAATAAATATAGTTGAATGACGGAGACCCTTGAAACAACAGCTACTGTTTCAAGGGTCTCCGTCATTCAACTGTGACTGAATCTTCTTTATGTGGTTTATCATAACGGTAATTTCATAGCGAGCCAGGGGTGAATTACCACAGTTCCTATTCCATTTCTTGGGGGGAGTGGAGGAGTTTACAGTACAGTACAGTATATCTGGGTATACTACAGATAATTGCATACACCTTGCACTGTATTAGTAGTTAAACTCGACCACAAAGACTGCCATAGAATGCCTTTTCCGCACACACACACAATACAGAAGTGAAATTCCTTCAGCCCACAATTCATTTAAAATGACACTAGTCTCCAAAACAACTTTAGCTTAATACAGCAGTTTTGGTGTATAGATTATGTTCCTGCAGTCTCAGTTCTTTGCCATTTAGTAGTAAAATAATTTTTGTTTCTGTTTATGCAGCCCTAGCCACACCTCCTTGCATGGCCTTCCTAGACAAGTCTTGTAAGGAGACATGTAATGTTTTAACTTCATAAGTGCACAGTTTGTTTAATATAGAATTTCTTGTCTCCTGCTGTTAATAGCCTTCTGCAGAAGCATCCTTTGTGTGAATAAAGTTCAATTTACAGAGCAAGAGCTAAAATCATCTAAATCCAGTTACTCTGATGGAATATGGAAACTTTTTTTTTCAAGCAGGATGTGTGAGTCACAGGCAGGGGAGGTGTGGCTAAGCCTGCATAAACAGAAACAAAAGCGGTTTAACTCCTAAATGGCAGAGAATTGAGCAGCAAGACTGCAAGGGCAGGGGGGCCTGACATCCAACATGGCCAGATGTGTCTCTCAATAGCTCCCAAGGGACTCCCGCTAATCTCAGTTTTTTATGGCTGATACTCAAACCATTCGACAAAACAAGCTACATATTGCCGATTGCATGGTCCAGCGCACCTTATTGAACCAAGTCCATGGTGTTCTGTGCAATACTTCTCCTGTCCAAGACTGAAGCGGTCACACCAGTGGTTGGTGGAAACAGCCGATCTACCGACACGGGGCGCATCTTTCTACTAACAAGTGCCCTTTGGACTGGCGGGGGATATCCCAGCCCCCACTCAGTCAGGCGAAACTCGTACCTGAAAGCTCTGAGCCTGAAGCACTGCATACCGCGATCAAGATGGCCACCACGTGGGAAGCTGAGCACCGTAGCCTGGTCCTGGAGGGCTAACAGTGGAGAATCCTCTTTGAGGCTCGGTTCAACGCCATCTGCCATGATTTCTGGCACTGCATTGCCCATCGTGCTGCACCAAATCCCCCTAGCTGCAGATCTACCGCAAGCGGCAGACTCAACAGACTGTTCCTCTCCCGGGCCGGGGGCCCACATGGAGTTGCCTCCAGACCACAGTCCATACACTCATGGGGATATCCCGCACGCAGATAACCCATGGGCCCACGTTCCAGCTGCTCAGAGAGTGGGGATCCACGGACATACACAGGTGGCGCCCACTGAGGTCTGGGGCCGAAGATCCAAGGCTCTGATGTCTCACACTCAACCATCCACAAGCAAGCTAACACAGCCTGAATCTTACCATAGCGTGGAGGAGCAGTAGGCTTGGCATGAGGAAGGTCTGTTGTCTGTCTCTGGGGCTGCGGTCCCATCAGTTGCAGCCAGAAACTGGACTTAAAGCCATGGCCCACCTGTGGCATAGGGTGAACTAATCTTTTGCCCGGTACCGAACTGCCTCCATAGTTTGGCTCAAACTAGGCAATATATAAATATTATGTCCCTAGCATGTTACCTACTTAATATACCTACCAAGTGATCTCATTGTCAGTCTTATCAGAGTGCACAATATCTTTGCAGTACTTTAGTATGGAGATCTCATAGCCTACCTGAGCACTTAATGTTTTTTGCCTTATACACCTACCTGCAGTTTTAGGCTTGTTTTTATCATGCTTTAATCAACCTTAGTTATTGCTCCTGCCATTCCTTTTATTTACTTACCACACATGAACAGATTACAAGGCCTCTATCTTAATGCATTTCCTTGCTTATAATATTGATATGTATGATCATTTTCCCTATTCTGTGAGCACCCAGTGGTTTTTCTTTTTCACTCTTATTTTTACTCTAAGCCTGCAGTATGTCTTTCTATTGATACTCCTGTGTTAAAGTACACTGCTTACTCTTGTTCGTATAACTTTTGTTCTTAGGCAGTACCTGTTTAATCATATCTTTATGTCCACACTAAGACCAGTACATGTCTCAGACTAACCAACTACTGAAAAAAATAAAAGAATTACAACAACAAAAAAAGACCCAATAAGGCCAGACCCTCAAAAGTACTTCAAAACTATGTCGGAACAGGGCTACCAAAATTATGCTTACCCCTGGTGTAGGGTTAGCAACGACCAAAAGGTGATTTAGATCAGAGACATTTGATAATCAGGACTGATAACATGAATCAGTTTTGTTTGTTTGGTTTTTCTTTTCTTTATTTTTGGCTTTATTTTAATTTTAAGTATACATATAGGATAATCGAAAAAAGGGAAAAGCTATATAATATGCATGGTTGTTCCATCGCAAATTATTAAAAAAAATTGGCCTCCATCCTTAAAGGATTAAATGCTTCAGAAATATGTAAGGCAAAGAGTGATGCTGTTGCATTCTCTGTCTTACTTTAGTCCTAAGAAAAATTTATTGCAATCATCCAGTTGTGACAAAAATGCAGGGACTAAGGAGGTTCCATATTCAGGTGGGTTTAAATGTTTGATCTTGGCTGTGTTCCTCACATCTAAGAATGCTGATTTTATCACAGTAAATAGATGCCTGAACATGTGTTGTCACCAATATATATCAAGGACACACTTCAAATGAGTTTAGTTCTAGCAAACGTCCAAGTTTAATGCCATCTTGATGGTCTGACCTTTGATGGCCTTGATGTAATTATCCAAAGTTATTTCAAAAAGAGAACCTGATCTCCCCTTGACAATGATCCTTTAAATGAGGGAACAATTCCTACAGGAAACCAGTTCTAAAGCAAGGGATGAAAAATGATCATTTCAATCTTATCACCCTTTTTGCACATAACCCCATAGTGTTCATGGGAAATATAAACAATGTTTGGGTGAAACTCAAAACTTTTTTAAAAGGCAATACAAAGAAAACTTTCACCCCCCCAGGAAACAAACAAAAAGGAGAAAAAAAAAAGTTCTCACAGCCTATAGTTTGTGGGTATGTATTTTGTTGTCAAATAAAATCACACCTATACTCATTATGAAGACAGAAACATCATGAAAAAGCACTAGAATACATAGACATACCAGACCACTCCACCATAAACCCCTTTAACTTTTTTTCCCATTTCCTACAATTAAGAAAGCTTCACTTCCTCTCAACTCAGCCATCAAGCAGGCACTTCCCCTCTGACTTTTGAAACATACTGCATAAATCACTGTTAGAAAGGGCTACATTTTACACCTATACTTCTAGCCACTCACCCCTCTCATCTCATACTCCAGTGCATAGAAGGCAGATCTTGGAACGCCGGAGGACCCCATGGATTGGACTGACATTTGGAAATTGACTGCCTCACTATCTGGGTATCCCAACTAGCACAGGCATATAAAATGTTTTTTAGGTGGTATTTAACCACCAACGACAAGCAGCTATGAATTTACTCCCCACCAGCCTCTGTTGGAAACAGTGTAGCGATTCACAATTCTTCTCCCACTGCTGGTGGAGCTGCCCCAAACTAACACAACTATAGTCTAAAATAACAAATCTGTTCTTCAAACAATTCAACAGACACCTCCCCCTAGACCCTTGAAAGCTTCTATTATCCAACCCCATTGACCCCCTCACGAGAAATGAAAACAACCTGGCAGCAAAAATTGCTCTAACTAACTGCAGAGCCATAGGTGAACAATGGGCCTCTCCTAAAATCCCTTCTGTAATGGAACTCCCCGTACTCCGACTGAGTACTTTCCGTTGATGGACGCTTGCGCCGAGGACCACAAGCACCGGACACCACAACCACCGCAGACTCCACAACCGCCGTAGCTTAACTGGAGTCTCACTGTCTTCTGTCCACCCTGGATCAGCTTCTGTCCTCCAGGACTGTGTGGGGAAGACCTCTCCTCCAGGAGAGCGTATCAGGAACAAGCTTTTAAAGAGCTAAGTGATTAAAGCTCAGGGGAGTATGCAGAGCATAGCAATCCCCAGTGTGATTATAGCAGTTCCCTCCAATAACGCAACGAGGTTACGTTTTGAAGGGTAAAGAAAAACTGACTCCAGTGAGCGTTTATTCCTGCTTATATACAACTTTCCCAGCAAGGTTACCACCCATGCTGACCTTGTGGGGCACTGGAACTGTAAATTTAACAACCAATAAAATAAAGGCACATGGATAAGCACACCCACTTTTTACAATGAGAATCCTCCCCTCTGCTTGGGAGATAACTGAGTTAATTACTGTATCAACTCCATTATCTCCTAGCTAAAAAACACTTTTATTTTGTAACTTTGTGAGTTTACATGCGATATTAATAAAACTTATATTTTTATAACCAGCATAATTTGGGGACAAACATTTCCAAAATTCACTTGAATCGGTTAAGTGGTTCAGGAGATAGGTGGAAGTCATATTTTGACCGAGGAGGGACAAGACAGCCAGTTCCAACTGGTTTGGCAGTGTCCCTGGGACAACAACCTGCTGGAGAACAATGGGGGAGGGGGAGGGGAAGAGGCACACCTTCCCATGGATTCAAAGGGCAGAAAAAGTGTCCCAAAAGATTCAATATGTCCATACACTGTTTTTAAAGGGCCATACACCCCAGGGCCATAGTCATGTGGCAGGAGGCTGGCAATCAGTCCTCTCTAATGCCCAGTGGCAAATGGCAGTTTGTCACACCTTCTATCCAAACAATATACAACAAAATCTAAGCTAGCCTAGACTTGGATATGCCAACAGCACAAATCCACAATACACCAAAACCCTTCCACATATTCTGGGACCCAGAGATTGAGGGGAAAACGCCTTACCGTGGTAGACACAGTCTCACTCACACCACCCACTCTCTTTGCCCAGAAGAACCTTCCTCCATGGACAAACTGCGACCCTTCTTGATTGATCCTACTATATCCCTCCCTCCATTTACCCATAGGAGGCGAATGCCTGAGCTTTCACCCAATTGACCCTGTATATCTTCATCTTTCCTTCTCTCTCTTCCCTCTCTCTAACTATTTGCTTTCCAAGTAGCAGGAATCTCTACTCACTGAGTCCTCTTATAACAAAGGAAGGGGAAGAAGACAATGACTGCTCCATAAGACATTTTATATTGAGAGACTCCTTCCAACTTACTCTAATGCAACTCTCATATTAAGCATTGTGCTGGAGTCGACCTGCACCTTACCTTCCTACCCTCAGATAGGACCAGGTTCAATAACCATCATAATTTTTCAATCCTGCCTTCCCTAATACTATCCTTACCTTTTGTGTCACCATGCCCCACTTCTAGGATGTAAGCTCATTGAGCAGGGCCCTCAACCCCTGTGCATACAACGTATTTGATTACAATTACATGTTTGTTAGTCCACCCACTGTAAAGTTCTGGGGAATTTGTTGGCGCTATATAAATAACAATAAGCACATCATACACCCCCACCTAAGAGCCTTGGTTTTTAGAATGCTACTGGAACTGACTTAACGCACCACCTTCAACCCAATGTTATTGGTGCTAGAAGGCGACTTGTTCTTCTGTGCCTTTATGTTGATATTTGACATGCAGACTGTACTATGCTATGTGTAACATTCCTTTCCCTTGCATTTCCTTACAATGTTATTAGAAATTACCTTTACAAATGCTACGAAATGTGTGTAAAATTTATTTTAAAAATAAAATCTCACACGCTACACATATAAAATACAATAATGCAGAAATGAAGGGATTGAGGTAAGCAATAACATTTGTTCAGCTATGTAAAATAATACCTCTGTTACATTACAAAATGACAGCTTTTGCACAAATATTTAACAAGTATGTAACTGTCAATATCATCACAATTGCCAACAAGAGAGTCTCAGCTCTCCAATTGCAGCATTTGATTGCACAGCATAGTAATTTTGCCACACACATTAGCCTCCCAATACTTTTAAACCCTCACAGGTGGGTGGAGGCACCATAGCTTCAGAAACATGTTTCTGTTCCTTTAACTATAGTGTTCCTTTATAGTTAGGATTTAAAACCAATCAATCAGGAGATTTGCTAAGTATAACAGAAGCACATTACTGTTCCTACTGAAAGGAAAGTTTTCCTTTAAAACCTAGGAGTTTAGCTCCACTGAGCTAAACAAACCTGGTAGTAAAAGAACCAGTTATCTGATAGCCTGGCTACACCCCCGGATTGTCTTATTTATAAAGTGGTCATTTCTATTATAATCTGAACTTTTGTAAGATTAAAAAAAAAAAAAGAGACACTTCACACAAAGCACTTCAGCAAGATAAATAGCTTTAGAGGTCTAGAGCATCCCTGTAATAACAATACAATGGACATAATGCCTTCAACCTACCATATATGTAGTTAAAAATTACTGTTCAAATAAGCTACTTTTACCTTCTTCTAAACTACATTTTGAATTATACCAATGGCATAGTTGGTCATGATGTCACTTAAAAATGTCCTGTAACTGCATATCCCCTGACCACACATTTTGCAAAAAGGTTAGCAGCCAGTCCACCAATTTAATATCTGCAAATATCCTGAAATTAACAGACTCCAAAGGGGGCGGGAGCTAGCAGCATTCAGTAGCAGATGCAATCTTTTACAGTTCCACTTGCACAACCTGAAAAATCCTTTATACCTCGAGAAATATGTGGCATCCAGGGGTAACACTATCACCTTTACACCTGGGAAGATACACCGATCCCGTGGATGCCTTTTTTTTTATATGCCGCGAGTGCAATAACAGCACAGAGGACTTCGGGCCAACCACGTGGGAGTCCTGCGGCTGCTTGGTGATATTCTGGAGCAACCCCATTCCTGTTACAGCCTCACTGCCAACCAGGGACGTATTAGCCGCGAGGCAAACAAGGCATTGGCCTTGGGCGGCATTTTTCAGGGGGCGGCAAAAAACGCCGCTCCCAAATGCCCAGGGCAAACCTAGTTAGCCTTGCGGCTAACTGACATGCTGGGCTGGGCGGGCGGCTGGCGAGGGAGCACTTCCTCTAAGCGGTCTGCTCAGCTCCCTTGCGCCATCTTCCGGCTCCCAGCCTCACTTTGTGTCTGACTGTGTGTGTGTGTGTCTGACTGACTGTGTGTGTCTGACTGTGTGTGTGTGTCTAGAAGGTGGGGCGGGAGGGAAGGGTTGTGTGGGGGGAGGGGGGTGCCTGAGTTTTGTCCTGCCTAGGGCAGCACAAAACCAGGATACACTGCTGCCAACAAACCCAATTTGAACACCAATTGGGCGTAAGTCACAGAGACCGACTCAGACCTTGACTGGTAACAACCAAGACATCAGCCCAATGTTGGCTTCCACCTCCCGACCCGGTGAAACAACACCTCCACGGCCGGAGACATCCTGCAATTTAAATTCTTAGGAATTCCTGCAGGCAGAAGCCCTGGATGTCGCTAAAACTGCAACACCAGTCACCAAACAGGACATACATGACCTGTTAGCACACTTTAAAAAAAAAAAAAATGGAAACCGAAGCTGTAACTGATAGAATTGAAGCTAGAATTGAAGAAGGCATGATAGGCATAGCTTGTACTCGCAGGATGAGTCAATACAGCACCTGCAACAACTACACTCAAGATTCGCACGGTGGCTGAATCTATCCCTACAGATTAGCTGCCACACTTCATAAGGTGGCTTATTGCCTCTATCCTGCCGGCTAAAGTTGCCAAACAGTTTGCGTATGATGGGCTATATTTAATCTCTAAATCCTCCCAAGAAACTAATAATGTTCCACAAGACATTATTCTCTGCTGCCAAACTTATGCTGATAAACAGCAGCTGCTGTACGCTCTATGGGGAAAAACTCCACTCCAATTTGAGTCCACACTCACCTTCTTTCAGGACTTGAGAAAAGCTACTCTACTATGGTGCAAATCTATGAGACCTATTACGTAGGTACTGCAGAATGCAAGCTTCTCCTATAGACGGCCCAGATCTGTTACCGTCACCAGAGGGGGAAAGTCGTACAGAGCAACAAGTCGTCCAACGGAGGGTCAAACTATCCTGCAGGTTGTAGGACTATCAGAACAGGTTTCATCCATGTCTGCTGCTCATGTTTGGAATGTATCCCAAATCGCACCATTTGTTTTACATTATGCTGTTCTCTTGAATTAATGCTGTATTCATCTGCTCCTACCGCTACAATTTCACTATTACCGACAGATGCGACTACACTTTCTTTTATTCACCTTATGCAGTAGACTACGTAAATAGTTGTACATTTCTATCCCCCGGGAGAGAGAGAGAGTATATATGTGTGTGTATATATATTATATATATATACACACATACACACACACACACACACACACTAGCCTACCTTATTTACATGTGATTAACTGTTTTGACAGTCTGCGTTATACGCCCTCTCCACACTTATCACTCCACTCGCCCGACTTTCATACTCATGACTAAGTATTTTTTTATTTATTTTTTTTATTGTGCAGTTTTCCCACGTATGCCTTTCATTGTTATGTTTTTAATTCATGCTTGTCTTGCTATTGGTGCCGGGGCATGGCCAGACCATATGTTTTCATCATACACAACAAAAATAAAGAATTTTTAAAAAGGGATTCACAGGTTCCTTTTCAAGCAGTAAAGGAAACTTCAAAGATCATATCATTCTTTCAGTCTATAGTTTAACTATAAATAAGGATATAGGACATAGGGAGAGGAGAAGAGAGAAAGGAAATGTAAAAAAAATAAAATGTAAATCTCCTGTTCTATAAAGCCAAGATACAATATGGGTGAAATAACAGACTCAAGGTAAAGCTCACCATGAAGATGTTTATTGAGGACATAGTATAATATATTTTACAAAGAAGGGGAAAAAGGGCACATTATTCCAAACCAATTACAGTACAAAACATCCAAAATAAAAATTAAATAACTAAAACTTTTATGCTATTTTCGTTTGCCTGTGCATTAAAGATTAACCCCTAAAAATCAATAAGATTTCACATAGGTTTCACAATATGGCCCTGTAGGACCCTCTGCAGCATGGTATACGTATTTACAACATCATTTACTGTATACAGTCCTGCTGCCACTAAGTGGGACATCGCATTTTGTTATAAGACACTTGATTAATTAATGTACTTATCCACTAAACTGGGAATCATGAGAACTGACAAGAGAATTTTAATTGCAATACAAAAATATGGATTTCATCTAACCAAGCTAAAGAAAGTTTAGCTGGAAATACAACTTGATGTTCTGCTAAGATTTCAACATGGAGATGGCCATCTTACAATTGCCTCCCAATTTTTAAATTTGTATTGAAAGGGACTGATTGACAAAATCCAAGGCTGCAAGAGATGATACAATGTCAGATTCCAGATTTTGTGATTTGGAAATAGGTCCCAGCATTCTACGGCTTAGGAAACAAAAAATGGTTTATATGTCTCTCTGAGCCTAAAATGCCCCAAAGTGGATTGTTTAAAAAAAAAAAAAAAAATCAGTGCTGGGTAAATGGTTAACATGCTATATGATCATTAACAGACCATTTCTGATGGCAGAACCACTTTGATTGGAAAAGAACATATCTTGTATTAACATGTTTTCATGAGATGCTCTGTTTTCTTTTCAGTTTATATTATAGATTTAGCAAATGAGACCATAATCCAGTTCAGACAGGGCAAACACTGCAAATGAAGAGGAGAAATAAAAACCATTTCATTTTCCTCTCCTCTGTATGTTTTCTCTAAGCGGATTGCCAGGTGTAAAGGATGGAGCTTAGAACAATGATTGACAGTGAGCAAGATGTAGGTGCCATTTAGAGAATCAAAAGGTATTCATTTCTACATAAAGTTTACACCTCACAAATACATATTTGTTAAATGTAGAGATTGGTGAACATAATTTTTTAAAAATGACTGTTCCCCCTTTACACCCAAATAAAGCTGGAAAAACGGCTGTTTTCCAATTATTTCCCAATTTTCCCTAAAATATACAATTCCCTTGTCAGTTTTCCAAAATCCCTGTACTCGAAAATATTGTTATGAGGGAAATACATGACAATTCATCCGTAATATGAGAGAGAGTGTTACAGTATGTGTGTATCAGACACAAAAGAAAGTCCTACTTATAAAAATGTATAAAGTAGCCCTGTGTTCAATATGTCTGTTAATTTAATCTCTTATGCCAAATTAACATAGAAACTTTTTTTATTACCTGAATACTTATGGTCAATGCAATTTTATAAGATTTGGTACATTTATGCTAAATACACTAGTGCAAATTTAAAATAAAAAAATATTGGTGTATTTACTGATCAACCAGTAACAAATCTAATAGAAATAATAGTAAATATGTTTACTCCTATCCAGATACGGGTAGTATACCAGATGAAACATAACGAAGTAAATAATACTTTGCTGCAGTAGGTAGTAAGACAGAAATATTAAAACATATCACAGAAACAAGCTGGATTTTTACAGATTTGTTTCTGACCAAAGAGTATATACACCAAGTCCTTATAAATTCAAGTTTAGGTTAAAAGTTGGATATTATAACTAAATGGCAGCCAGATGTAGCACCTGCCTACAGCAGTGTCAGTTTTTGAATGCCCCAGATCGACTTGCTTTGTTGATGAAGTTCTTCAGAAGTTCACTCTCCATCTCTGCAAACGCATTAGTCTGGGTAACCACGGTCATATGGTTTATACAGAATCTGAAGCAAAACTCCTCTAGATCCTAGAAACAAAAGTCTGGTTGCAGATACATTAATTAATATATAGAAAACACACCTTATTAACAGTTACTTCAAGAACAAATATGTTACTTACATCTGGAATAATAGCTGAAATGGGGAGGAGGGGAAAGGAGAGGCGAGATGGACTTGCATTTACTTTCAACTGATGTTACTATATTGCTAATAAAGTTTGGAAAAACCAACGCCCTTGGGCAAGCAGTTTGCAGGTCGCCAGATACATATTTCCATAACATTTTCTTGACTTTACGCTCTTTATACTATGTGAGACCGTCTATAGATCAGTAGTTCCCAATCCTGTAGTCAAAGCATAATAATGCTTGAGCTTTTGACAGTATCCCAATTAGAATAAAAATATGAAATGCCAACCTAACCTGCCTGTATGAAACCGAACAGCAGGCAAGTTAGTTTGGGCAGTGGTCGGTCAGACAACAGTAAAGTCTGATCCAACATGGATGCTCAGTCAGATAAAAAAAATAAAGATTTTATCAAAAATAATTTAATATTTTCATATATACCATTTAAAAATGTATTATTAATGGGTTTTTCCAATCCTTTTACATAATTAATAGAATAGTGCCCTATTGGCATTATTCTATAGGTCTCCTCTACAAAACCGCTCAAAGAGCATTTTAGTATTAAGTTTAACTTGCATTAATCCAGGTCCAAAATGGGCAAAACTCCCAGGCACTGTGCGACACACTCCTGTCTGTCGTCACGGGAGCCGCACTAATGTACAGGTGATACTCGAAAACTTAGAATATCGTGCAAAAGTTCATTTATTTCAGTAATGCAACGTAAAAGGGGAAACTAATATATGAGATACACGCATTACATGCAAAGCAAGATAGTTCAAGCCGTGATTTGTCATAAGTGCGATGATTATGGCTTACAGCTCATGAAAACCCCAAATCCACAATCTCAGCAAATTAAAATATTATATGCAATCAATAAAACAAGGAGTGTACATAGAACAATATCAGACCTCTGAAAAGTATAAGCATGCATATGGACACAGTACTTGGTTTGGGCCCCTTTTGCAGCAATTACTGCATCAATGCGGCGTGGCATGGAAGCCATCAGCCTGTGGCACTGCTGAGGTGTTATGGAAGACCAGGATGCTTAAATAGCGGCCTTCAGCTCTTCTGCATTGTTCGGTCTCATGTTTCATCTTTCTCTCGGCAATGTCCCATAGATTCTCTATGGGGTTCAGGTCAGGCGAGTTTGCTGGCCAATCAAGCACAGTAATGCCACGTACATTTAAACAGGCTTTGGTGCTTTTGGCAGTGTGGGCAGGTGCCAAGTCCTGCTGGAAAATGAAGTCAGCATCCCCATAAAGCTCGTCTGCAGAAGGAAGAATGAAGTGCTCCAAAATCTCCTGGCAGACGGCTGCGTTGACCCCGGACTTGATGAAGCACAGTGGACCAAAACCAGTAGATGACATGGCTCCCCAAATCAACACAGACTGTGGAAACTTCACACTGGACTTCAAGCATCTTGCAGTGTGTGTCTCTCCATTCTTCCTCCAGACTCTGGGTCCTTGGTTTCCAAATGAGATGCAAAAGTTGCTCTCATCAGAAAAGAGAACTTTGGACCACTGAGCAACAGATCAGGTCTGTTTTTCTTTAGCCCATGTAAGACGCTTCTGACGTTTTTTTGTTCAGGAGCGGCTTGACGAGGAATACAACATCTGAAGCCCATGTCCAGGATCAGTCTGTGTGTGGTGACTCTTGATGCACTGACTCCAGCCTCAGTCCACTCCTTGTGAAAGTCTCCAACACTTTTGAATGGCCTTTTTCCTGACAATCCTCTCCAGGCTGTGGTCATCCCTGCTGCTTGTGCACCTTCTTCTTCCACACTTTTCCCTTCCACATAACTTGCTATTGATGTGCTTTGATACAGCACTTTGGGAACATCCAACTTCCTTCGCAATTACCTTTTGAGGCTTTCCCTCCATATGGAGGGTGTCAATGATGGTTTTCTGCACAACTGTCAGGTCAGCAGTCTTCCCCATGATTGTGATTCCTAGTGAACCAGACTGAGAGACCATTTAAAGGCTCAGAAACCCTTTGCAAGTGTTATGGCTTACTTAGCGGATTAGAGTGGGACACTGTGAGCCTAGAATATTGCACTTTTTACAATATTCTAATTTACTGTGATTGTCAATTTGGGGTTTTCATGAGCTGTAAGCCATAATCATCGCACTTATGACAAATCACGGCTTGAACTATCTTGCTTTGCATGTAATGCGTCTATCTCATATATCAGTTTCCTCTTTTACGTTGCATTACTGAAATAAATGAACTTTTGCACGATATTCTAATTTTTCGAGTATCACCTGTACATTAGTGCGGCTCCCGTGATGACAGACAGGAGTGTGTCGCACAGTGCCCGGGAGTTTTGCCCATCTTGGACCTGAATTAATGCAAGTTAAACTTAATACTAAAATGCTCTTTGAGCGGTTTTGTAGAGGAGACCTATAGAATAATGCCAATAGGGCACTATTCTATTAATTATGTAAAAGGATTGGAAAAACCCATTAATAATACATTTTTAAATGGTATATATGAAAATATTAAATTATTTGTGAGAAAATCTTTATCTAATTTAACAATTTTATTGTCTCAGGGCACACAGATGTGCTTGGAGTTGGTATGGGATAGGGAAAGGAGGAGTGAGGGCAGGGAATTTAATAAAAAAATAAATAATAGAGTGGCTGGATGGCTTTTTTCAATGTGAGTTGGAGGGAGTGGAGACATGAGTTTCTCCTTGCAGACAGAAAGCAGTGTGTGCAGCAAGCAGTAAGGTCAATAGCCAGTGAGCAGTGTGTGCGAACGACAGACACTTTTTATGCACAAAAATGAAATTAGGTATGTCTGGGCAGCCTAAGTCACATGTGTTGGAGGTGCAACTAGCCCTTGGCACACAATTAAAAATATCTCTGAATGTGCAGCGTTTCAAGCTGAAACTCTGCACATTCTGACTTCTAACACCATGACCACTTCAAAAAGCAAAATGGGGTTGGAGTGACCCTTTAAGTTTCATTAGATGTAATAAACTTTTAAAAAACAAGAGATGAAAATTTGATGATAGATGTTCCATTAATTATGAAGATTATTAGTGTCTTAAAGGGACACTATAGTCACCAAGCATTTGTTCTGGTATGTATAGTAAGTCCCTACAGGCATTTTAATGTAAACACTACCTTTTCAGAGAAAAGGCTGTGTTTATATTACAGCCTAGAAACACCTCTAGTGGCAGTAATAAATGTTTGTATTGCTGACACTCTAGTGTTCCTTTGTCAAAGAACCTCGATTTTTAACTAGAGTTGGATACTCTTAACAAGGAAAATGTAATTGACTTGAAATCAACTTGTCTACTGCATGTATGCAAATTGAATTCTTCCAAAGTATGGAGCTGTATGGAGCTAAGTGAAAAGAAAACATGTGTTGTACCTGAGCTTCATACTTAACAGCAGCAGACAGAAGTATTACAGCATTCTCCTCGCAGATACCTTGCTTTATGGTTTGCTGACAAAGCTGTTTCAATCGGTTTTCTCTATAGGATGTTGCCAACTCCAGAAGCCCTGTGGAGTACAGAACTAGTTAGAAATATACTATGATCCTTGACCAATAAAACCAGTGCTTACAAATCCATTGACACATACACATCAGGGCGACACTAGTTTATTAAAAGTTATCTGTGCTTTATTTTGTTCATTTTAAGAGAACATTTTTTTTCCCATTTAAAGTCTGTGATCTGAGCTGGATGTTATGTTCCTGAAAGCAGACAGGAGCAAAACTGCAGCAATATGGAATATGTTGTCATGGAAGGAAGTAAATCGATAAAAAGGACATGTGCCTTGTGCAGTTTGCTTAAAAAATAAAAAAAAATAAAAAAAACATTGATTTTTCCATAATGCATCTTTATTTTGTAACGTATATTGAAGCACTGTGGCATTAAAAGAGGTGTGTGCTTAAAGTATATTTATACACATCCTGCTTCATTGTGCTAGTCGAGGCTTCCCTTGCACTAAGTGAAAATGCAAAAAAAAAATGTAAAAGGTTTTTGACTCCGGTTAACCAAACAAAAGCTTAATGCTGAAAAAAAACAAACCTTTTCAATACAATAAAGTGATTAAAACTGAATTTTTGAAAAAAGTAATGGACTCATATTTCTGAACTTCATTACAAAAATGGTAGCTCATTCCAAGTTTAAATACGGAGCTCTTTAAGGAATGTTTCACAATTATAATTTCTCAACCCTCAACCTCTCAAAGCAAATAGGCAATTTAATAAACAATATGTTATTCAACATTGATTCAATACATGTTCATAAAAAATAAAAAGATACTTGTGTTAAAGACAAAAGCAAACCAACCGGATACTCATCTACCCCGTCCCTAACCTCAACCCACACCTCCCTCCCCAGACGAACAGAAGACAAACCACAACCTTCACACACCTCACGGACCACAGTGAGGAACACCTCCACAGAGACCAAACACAAACCACACAACAGTCACAAAACCACAACAGTAAACTCACTCAGCTGCAGGACAACACCGAACAAATAACTTAGGATAACCAACGCCCCCTTTCCACACCCCACTCTAATCCCATGATCAAAACAAACACGAAAGACTGTTAGGAGCACAGAAGTTATTGTGAACTTGTGCGACAACACAAGCCACCCTTATCAAATAATCGAACGCACTAACATACAAAATATATGCGAATCACAAACAAATCAAGAGGACACATGATAATCATCCAGATCCTTCTATTCACTACCGGTATCCCCACACTACCAGATGTTACCACTGAACCTGGCCATGCACGCTCTAACATAAACGCTCACTAGGGCCACACTACCGGCTACACACCACTACAGGCCCACCATCCCTCTCATCTCTGTACCCCACCTCAAGAACAAGACCAAAATGATCAAATATCAACAAGACTGTGCAAAATGTTAACCTGCAAACAACGCAAATAGATTTTAATGATACACAATTGTTATATGCGCTTGACCTGTTTGATGACCATCAAAGAACATATGTATGTGCTGTGAAATACATCTCAATAACTCTAATCCCCTGTTTTCTCTTCTGTACCCCCACCCCATAAACACAAAACTTTTCAAAATAAAGACAAAAGCAAACCAAAAGACTATATGGATCCTAATGAAAATGGTCTTACCAATTGCATCTTCTGGAGAAATACTAATGCTGTCTGTGTATAGATATTCCAAGAAAGCACGGTAAACCGGGTAGGAAAATTGGTTCATTTCAATGATTTCTTCTTCACTTTCATGCAAGAATGATCGAAAATGTTCACACCTCAAGGGGATTTAAAAAAAAAAATATATATATATATATACTGTGCACAACATATAAAACCAAGAGGGCTACACTGACCTGAACATGCATACATTAGAGGGGTGTCACTGGGTCCAATTTGTAAAACATACAAAATTCAGCACACTCACTCACTGAACACCAATTTCGAAGCTCACAAAATTGATTTGTTTTCAAATATACATACGTAAATATATTTGGGAATTCAGGCCAACTCCCCAATTTTGCACCCCTCCCTGTCAGGTGTGCCTCATTTCAGGGCCCTATTTAACCTTGACCTGCAGAGAGTCCCATGAGGAAGCATTTCCCAAGTAAGTGGATTATTCGTAATCAGAGCAGGCATTAGGTTGCTAGAGTAAGACCTGCCAAGAATGGGGTACATTGATGTTGTGGCAGGCTTATGCAATATATGATCATATACTGGAACTAAACCGCTATTATTTTGGCCTTAGTCAGGTGGTTTTGAAGTTGAAGCTTAGTAAGTGAGGGTACTGGATCTTGAATGTTATATAAAACATAGATTTGTAAAAAGCACCTGTTAAATTTAACATGCACAGGAAGAATTCAGATTTATAGGTCTATGGGTTGGATTCTAATCCCATATGTCTCTGTCCAGCGAGAATTTATTGGGGATATGCCAAAGACTGACTGATGATAGCCATACTCTCCCTACTTTGTCTTATATTTTAAAGAAAACTAGATCAGAAATGAAGAAAACAGATTTTGAAAGAGGAGGAGAAGAGGAAACAATAGAAGAAATGTAGGTTCTGCATGACAATGGTGCTTTAACCCCTTAAGGACCAAACTTCTGGAATAAAAGGGAATCATGACATGTCACGTGTTCTTAAGGGGTTAACTAAGAGCAAATTGATTCTTTTCAATTAACCATTTAATCAACAACCTCAGTCAAATCTGCTGTTTATATTTAAAACGGTGTTTTTCCATACACATTTTATTTTTATGGGGAAATTCACAAACCACGCGCATCTCACTACTGTTAAGACCCCAAACTAGTATTCTGCTGCAGTCTTTGAGTACAATGATACCCCAAATATAGGGTGTTCAAGGGACTTGTTGGGTCAAACAGACATGCTCTAATTTTGACACGCTCCTGTACTTCCTTCCTAAGGATGCGGTTTGGTAAAGTGGCTATGTTTCCATACTAAATAGCTGCAAACCGTGCTATTTCTACATTTAACCCCTAACCATCCACCAACCCTGACACTAACCATAGCCACATACACAGTATAGAGTGCTTTGGAAGTGTCTGATTGCAGCATAAGAAGAAGCTAGAGGTTGAATTGCACAATGTGGGCAGGATTGGCCTCCATCGATAAATCTAACCTCTTCCCTACTTTTAAAAAACACTGACGAATAAGACATGAAACCACAACCTAACGCACAGTTATATAACTGCCAAAATACCTTAATTTACAAATGTGTTTAGATGGGAGCGGCTACACACCGCAGCCCAAAGGGGCATTTGCAGAGTGTGCTCTATGTGCAGTACAGACATGCAGTTAGTATAGGACATTTAAGATGATAACCGATGCTTATTACACGCTCCATAATCTATCCTTACACGCTTGACAAATTCCCTGCACACTGGAACTCCACATTGTGAAATCATATAGGATCAAGAGTAGAACATGTAATGTTGTCCCTTGAGAGAGGAAATACCACTTAACACATGGTTTGACACTTTCCATTTAAGTCAAGCCCATAAACCTTAGATGAGGTTACAGTCTAGGATGGTAAAACCTATTTCAAACAGGGCCTTCCTCAAATTATTTGTTGTCAAATAAAGCCCTGCAGATAATGCTGGTGCTACATAGATGTGCATTTAAATAATTAAACATTCCTGTCAATAGTAGACGCACAACATGGACATTCCTTCTCAATTTTTTATTTATTTTTTGTCACTCACCTTTTTATTGAGAGACATGCATGACAAGAAAATGAGACAGTACAGTATCTGACAAGAGATAGTCGTGAAAGACATATGATCATACTGGTAAATCATACCTCATTTTATAATAGAGTGAGTGGCAATCGGATGAGACAGATAGAACAGAGTACATAATATATATATATATATATATATATATATATATATATATATATATATATATATATATATATATATATATATATATATAGAGCCAAGTGTAAGGTCCAGTATGAAAAGACATTTGTAGTGAGATATAACCACTCACAATAAAATTAACAAAAAGAAACAAGGAAAATATATCTAGGAGGTTTCAAGTTTAAGATGAACTAAACATAAAGAAGCCTTACTGCCTATGTGTACAAACGATTGTGTTAATATTAACAGGCTTAATCAGCACACGCTAAAACATGGGTCGCTGGGTTGCTCTGACCTTCGAAATACTAAGTAGATATGTGTCAAGTGATGGTGGCTCCTTCAACATATTACCAACAATAACAATGAAAGAAATGTGAGAAAAAAAAAAAAAAAGAAAACCCACTGGAGCATCACTAAGTAAAACTTGTATGTGAACCATCCCTATATGATGGCCCTTCATCCCACTCCAACCACAGGCATGGCTAAATTTGATGATAGCAAAGTCCTAGCATAGACATAAGTCCAACATGTTGAGATCCACCAGCCCCATGTCACTACACGAGCCAGCACGTGACACCCGCAGATTTGAGCCTAGACTGGAAGCCCACTAGGCGAATCCAATGTCGGTGCAGGTTTCTCCAGGGTTATGGGCTACGATGCGGATGTCTACTCTCCAAGGCTTGAGTCCTATTAACTGGCTGCAGGATCAAATCTGAAGTGCCAGGTAGGATGTTTTTAATGGGCAAATGCCCTCAGTTGGGGTGACTCAGCTGTAACAGTAGTGCCCTGTAGTAGCATGTCCTAAGATTTGGAGCATAGAGTATCAAATGCTTTCACAAAGGAGTCTTTCTGCAGACTTAACATTGTGGTCAGTTTCAAAGAGGCAGCCAGTGCAGGTTGCGCAAAGTATCTCACTAAACAACAGTAAATTATGAGTGCAGGTTGCGCAGAGTATCTCACTAAACAGCGGGAAATCACCAGTGCAGGTTGCGCAGAGTATCTCACTAAACAGCGTCAAAACCCCTCCAGTGGGAACCGCGATTAACCCGGCAGATCCGGGGGGGATAAAAGGGGAAGGCAGCAGCAATAAGTAGCATAGAGGAGCCGGTGTGTTACAGTTGGGCTAAAGAGCAGGGCAGTGGTATCAACCTCACTCACTGCTTGATTAGGCTGCAGTCACAGAGGCTTTAGATCTCCAATAGAGGCAAAGTCCCAGCACCAGGAGTCGTGCACAAATAGTCTCAGTTTTCTGGTGCAAGAGGAGTATAACATCTGCGGTTATCAGCAAAAAGGGCCACAATATTCAGGAGCTGCACTTACATTCGACCAGTCATCATGGTGGTCAGGCTCCGACCCCTGTTTCTCATTTCTAGGAAGCAGCTCTACATTGTCACTCCTCTGTGTAAAAATACTACATTTTAGAGAAACACCAGAAATGAAGCATTACAGCCATGTCAGCCAAAGTAAAGGGTACTTCAACTTCTGTTCATTCTCTGAAGGGCAAATTAATGTTCAAACTCTGATTTTTGTTCTCAAATCACCTGTGTATTAACTTACTTATGTGTATTTTTCACAATCCACTAAAACACTAGAGTGTACTGTAGTCCTTTGAAGATGTGTGGAAAAAGGGACTGCCTCTTCAGATCTGTCTAATTGTATGGTAATCTACTGCCTCGTTTCCACTGAGCGGAACGGTTCGGGTCGGTACAGTTTGGAAGGTTTAGAATGGTCCATCCTATTCAGGTGAGCATTTCCACTGCAAGTAGGACCGCCAGGGGCCATGCGGGGTTTAGAAAAAATGCATAGCGTGTCATTTGTCGTGAGCATTGACGTTTTCCTGTCCGCCAATCATTGGATTGTATAGTGTGACGCTAGTAGCTCCGCCCTAACCGTACCGTACCATTTCCTATGGCCCTACATCTGAAGGAGGACCATGAATGGTGCGGTACGTTTCGGTTGTATGGGCCACTTTCATAATGGAAATACTCAAAATAGCGTACCAAACCGATCTGCTCAGTGGAAACGAGGCATATGTGAACATTTGTCCATCTAGACATGTCTGTAAATCATCCCTGACAATCGTTATTCCTGTTAATAGCAGACAAAGTGGTGCACAGAAAATCAAACAGATGTAAATACATATAATAAAAAAATACAAATATTTCCCTGGAACAAGGAAGCTTTCAAACTTGTAAACTTACACTTAGAAACTTATAAGGAATTACTTATCAAGGCATAACTGGAGCAGTTGCGAAACAAAACTTTTTATTTGGAGCAAACATTACAGAAACCAAATGTTTGTTTCTGCGGTCTTGTTCCAGCATGTCTTTGATAAATGTATGTATAAATGTGTTATGCACACAAACGCTTACCTAATCTGAAGAAGAACCTTATGCACATGTATGTATTTTTCATCTACTAAGAATTTCAAGTCTGCAGTTTCAGGGTTATCAAATTCTTTCCTTAATGATTCTGCAACAGTAAGGTGTTCGTCTGCCTCTAGAGAAAATAAAAGATTTTTTTTTATTTTTTTTAGAGAGGGTGTAAATGCCTTACAAACATGACCTTTTAAAGATTCTGTACATTCATATTAACCAATGTCTTAAATCAACATACATTTTAATCTATTGGCTTAATATTTGATTATTCAAGACAATTTTAAAAAAAGGTTTCCTCTAAAAAGGATACAAGACCCAGTACATATTTAAAAGGCCCCCTTGTTGGCACAACCTCATTGAGCAAGCTATTAAAGTGGAACTGTCACTTCTCTGAAAGTGACAGTTCCTCTTTCCCTCACCACAGTGAGCGTTATTAAGGCACAGAGAATCTGTACAGTCATTGGGTTCTGTACCTGCGCACTGCTTGAATAAGGCCTGTCTTGCAGCTGCAGTGACACAGTGACAGAGGAACTCCATGCACAATAACATACACAATGAGCATAGGTTGTTATGGTGCTTAGAGTGTGCCTTCAACATAGCACTGACACTGCTAGTTGATGTAATTCTATATGTTTACTTTATTATTATAACAGGGCTCAAAATTTCAGCTCCTAAGCTACTAGCCAGGCCTGAAAGTTATACAGTGCTGCTACTGTATGCAGTTGGTTGTGATCAGATGCAGGTGGCCTTTCAAACAACATGTACCTGTTCCATTCAATAGAGAAAATAGCACTTTTCATTCCAATCCACAAATTAAGACACACAGTACTGAGTTTAAAGTTGTGTTCCTAATTTTTAAAAGCAGAGTGCCATGCGTCACTAAGAAGCATAGGCTAAAAAGCCAAAGGATTTAACATTAATGATGTAATGCAATATACATATATAGGTTTCCAGAATGAATGGTATATGCAGGGTTAGGCAATATTTTCCAGCAACTTTTAAACGCATACACTTTGTGACCATATAAAAAGGGCTTTGAATCTAAAGAAGTTTATGTGTGAACCTTGGAAATATTGCATGCTCCTAGGCCACTTAATATATGGAAAGAAGACTATCAAACATTACAAACTTTGAACATTAGCAATTGGGAATTTTAATGCTAAATTTCACGCAAGCATCTGAATAGCGATCAAAATAACCTGGAAATCATGCAACTCGGCTTACCTACTGATAGGGGGCGCCACATTACTGCAGGTGTGGAGAAACAGGCAAACACATCATCAGTGCAGACAAAGTAGGTGAGGTATGGAAGGATGACTGACTGTCCTCGGCACTGACCCCACATATATACCTGACCACTCTGAGTCTTGCAAGCAGATGTATGTGATGAATGGCATGCAGCAATTTCAACGATCCTATTCATCAACAACAAATTACAAATCATTAGATTTCCATGAAGCTCTTTAACTTACTCTATTTATGGCAGATTCCCTAAATTACCTTCTATGTGTTTTTTTAATTTTATGAGTAAGTGGAAATGGACCTTTCAATTATTGTGTGTTGAAAAGCACAACTAGGAAATACACAGTTAATTCTACAGATGGATGGAGAGTGTATTATTTGATATCATGCAATGGCTAACAGACTATTTATTCTTCAGTGTTTCTATAGAGTTTTAATCCTGAATGCTTCATCAAATATATTTATTAGTTTTATAAGGCTATTATGGTTATTACATAGGGGTCTATTCATTTAATGGAGAATTTGCTTTTGCGAATTTGGTTAATTAAATTTTGGTTCAATTCTCCACCGTTCAGCTGATAACATTTCTCACTGATTCACTGTGTTAGAACAACCAAACGCTAAACGAATGGAGCCTATTTTCAAATCGATTTCATCGCTGCTGTTAGATTCGTACACTGAATTACAGACAAATTATAACTGAATTTCCCTGAGTCAAAAGAAACAAATGCTACTGATGTAAGATTAGGATTTATGGAAGATTTAGGATTGTGGTAGCATTACGGTGACAAAGGATATAAGAATTTTCAGTAGTTTAGGTGCAATTTCTCTGCTCTATGTCAGTCGAAGTGAGACAACCTAATACAGACGAACAAACAAGCGGATTTCAACAGAGAACGGAACTGCAGAAGAATCTATGTGTAAACAGGGTTGAAATAACACAACCTGTCTTTTAGTTGCTATTTGACTGTTTAGGGAACAGATCCAAAAGTTTTGTTTTGTTCTGCTCACAAGTGGATTTAGCTGAAAGAATATGGCCAGGGGAGAAGTTATTTGGTAACGGTATATTAATCCACCACAGTTAACAGATACACCTTCCTTAATTGATATATTAGGTCATCACTCACAAACGGATTTTAAATACAGGAGCTGGGGAATTAGAAAAGGGAATTCAATAAACACATGTAGAATAGTAAAAATGGTAAATAATTGTAAGTCAAACTGGACAGTGGTACAATCAACAGGACATCACAAGCAAAAGAATAGGTTGGTACACAAGTCCAACAAAGAGTTAAACTAGATCAGGACATGACCTCAGCAACACTTAAGGCTAGAACAGGGTATATCTGTAATGACCATTAGGCCTAGGTCATGGTGTGTCTCTAGGGATCATTTCTGCTGAATGACTTCTACAGACTAATAACATCCTACAAATCCGCAGCTGTCTGAAAAAAATGTACAATCATACAATCTCAAAAACGAATTCTTATTTTATCAGTTGGTTTTCTAGTAGTAAGCCTTTATCTCATAATACACAAGGTAGAAAAGCAAATAATATTTTGAAGATAACAAACAATACAGACATTGAGAGCAGAACAAATATGTCATGCGTTATAAATGTGTTAACAGGTGGTGTGCACAATAAAAGTGGATCAAGGAGTGTAAAAAAAAAAAAAAAATTAAATTAATAAATAAAAAGAAACAAAAAATAGCCTCTTAGGTAACAATGACTGCAACACAAAACCAAAGCACTGAGTGGTAATAAGAGCTTCTAGAATACATATTGTTTTTATATAAAACATGTTGCACAGTTTATCACTCTCTGCATGAGAAAATTAACCAGACCGAGTCAGGGACAAAGGTCTAAGATGAATGATCCTATGCACATAGCTAGGCTCTCTACCTGGGTTTGCTGGACTCGCCAAGCAATGATAAGCAGGGTTATTTACTAGAGTGTGCATTGTCAGGGATTCTCAGTGAATGTCAAATTTTAGCCCAAAATAGCCAAACTAAAAACTTAGCTAACTTCCAAATAGGCAATTTTATCAATCGCACTTTAATCATCAGAAATTCATGATGTCAGACATGCTTTAGGGGTTAAGAGTATTTCACACTTTCAAAGTGCCATTTCAATACACACTGGTTAAGAGCTGATTTGCTCTTCGTGTACACTTCAAAAGCACTTAATAAAGGAAGGCAAGTCTTTTTCTCTAGTCTAAGCTGTTTATAAAAACACTTGTATGGGAGTTCAAGAGTAGCACATTTTATATACAAAGGCATGCAGATTAAAAGTTTACAAAGCATGGAGAGTAAATGGTTTGTTTAAAGACAGAATAAGCACTTGGAAAAAAGCACTTGGATTAATCTGTGCTTAAACCATCAGAAAATATTAAAGAGTACTCCCAACAATCCTTACTACAACAGCTGCTGCAGTGGTTATGATGGTAAGAGTATGCTGGCGCCATTCCTTACCTGGGGTCTGCCGGGTGCCAGATCTCCAGTGTAGGCAGGTTTACAACATCCGGCTTCAGCAGAAGTCAATCCTGCCACTCAATCATTGGCTGGGAGCGTCTTATACAGTAAGAAAGAAATGCTCTGCCAATGAATGAGTGCCTGTACATTGAAATTGGCACAGAGCAGATAATAGCAAGCCTAGAACACTTGTTCCATGACACTGCCAGAGGTGGTTACACCTCCGACAGACAAGGGGTTAAACTCAGTATGTGCAGCTTTTCACAGCAAAAGGCTGCTCACACAAACACCAGGCACCATGATCATTTCAAATCACGGAGGTGATCAAGGTGCTTGGAGAAAACCCTAATCATTACTCCAACCACCATGATCACTTCAGTGATGTGAAGTGGTTATGGTGGTAGGAGTCAGTATGTGCAATGTTCCAGCTTGAAACACTGCACAAAGTTATTTTAATGGTGTTCCAGGGACTTGTTTCAGAAAGGAGGAATGGAAATGGTGGAGTAGGTACGGCCAGCTGTAAAACAGTTGATGGTCTATGACCACAGACTCCTTCTCTGGTCCTTGTCTTGGATGCAGAGTAGGCATTCAATGGAGTCCAATAGCCTTTTCTTTTCGATTCACTAGATCACATGGGGTGCCAGCAATTTTGTAGCAATAATGAGAGCGCTGTAGACTGGTCCAAGAGATCAGACCATAATACTGTGGGTAAGGTTGGAACCCTTAATGCTAAGTAATGGAACAGGGCAGGGGGTCTCCTGTCACCTCTTTTTTTGTACTAACCCTGTAGCTCCTTCAACATCATATTCAACCCAGGTAAAACAGGGACCAAGGTACCAGGCAATGAATTTAAAGTTTCCACTTGGATGATATTTTACTCACCCTTACAAGCCCACCCTCATTGATGTCACACGTGCATGAGTTCCTAAAGACTTTTAGTTACTTCTCGAGTATAACATAAATCTAGATAAATCCTGACCTATTTTTCCTGGAGTTGCCACTGACTCCTCCTTTCCTGGGTGTGTTATTCTGCCTTCTCCTTTTCCTTTTTTTCTGACATCTGGGGCCGGAAAAAAATCATGGGATTTGTAGTTCTACTATACTGTCAATTATGATATAACATAGTGGATATTGATGTGTTTTGGTTGGGGGGCAGCATTATGTATAATGTATATTCTGCAGGATTCTTCATTGCCTAATTACTTAACCTTATGCACCTTCTGAATTCTACATACTACAGGGCTACTATTTTTATGTGCTGCCCGTGAAAACATGGTGGATATGGTAACATTTTAGGTTTCAATGCAAATTGACATTTTTTAATTAACTTGTTCCACCACCCTCCCGGCTGTCAATCAGACCAGTTAAATTCTGGTTTGGTTAGCTCAGTGAAGCTAAACTCAAGAGGCAAAAATTCCCCAGAGCACATGCCTTGTGAAGACTTCTCATTCATTGAGCTCCATTGAGACGTTTGTGTTTGAACAGCTACAGAAAGTTTTGGCTGGGCTAGAAGGGCTTCAGACAACACTTGACAAAAGCGTTTTTTAGGTAGGGTGTAATGAGTACATGTTAATGTGAGTTTAAAAAGGGATACTAAATTCAACAAAAAATCATTTAGCTTAATGGGACACTATAGGCACCCAAACCACCTCAGCTAAGTGAAGCGGTCTGGGTACAGTGTTCCAGGTCCCTAAACCTTGCAATTGTAATTATTGCACTGATAAACTGTAATAATTACATTGCAGGGTTAGCTCCACCTTTAGTGGCTGTCAACCTGACAGCCACTAAACGGACTTCCAGATGTTTGGTCCCCTAACTGATGCTGGACCTTCTGCATGAGGGCATCTACCGTCACCCAAAACCCCATAGTAAAGCATTATGCAAGTCCCAATGTGAGCGCAGTGCTTGCTGCACATGAGCATTAGGTCTTCCTGCCAGCTGATGTTGGCTAATGAGGAGTGTAGACGGACCCCGAACCACGGGGGGGGGGAGGCCCCGAGGGAGGCGGGTACTATAGGGAGCTATAGTGCTAGGAACACAACTTTGTCAGTGTGCAATCTTGTGTTTAGCTTCCCTCTAATAAAGCAGTGTTGGTGTGATTATATGCCATTTAGGAGTTAAATAACTGTTTTTGCAATCACTTGCCACATATCCCTGCATTTGACTTACAAAGCCTTCCTAAACACTTCCTGTAAAGAGAGATCTAATGTTTAAACTTTTATTGCACCTTCTGTTTAATCTCCTGCTTTGTTAGTAGCCTTCTAGTAGCCTCATATGTGTCAAAGTTACATTTACAGAGTAGGAGATAAAAAACCTTCCATGTTTGCCCTGGTTTTGCCTTGTCCAAATGGGAAAATGATGTAATTTGCAAACGCTTTCACATAAATTCAAATGATAACCAAGCATCTTGTGAAATAAAATAAAGGGTCATTTTTAATGTTATATTCAATGGTGTAAACTTCCATTAAAGGGGCACTCGGGGCACCATAACAACCTAATCTAAATTAAGTTGTTATGATGCTAGGAGGGCTCCGGACACCCTCTTAAATGGCGCTTTAACCACTTGTACAGTTTAACCCAAAAGTGGGCCTCCAGAGCCATTCTCAACTCCCCTCAGGCAGCATCCGGCTTTTGAAATCTAGCTTCAGGAATCACAGAGTGCCACTGATTATCTGAAAGCGGTCAGCTGGCACTGTCAGCCAATCAGAA